GTCAAGCGGTTAATGCCATCAACTTACAGCCCGAATCCCATCATCACCACCCAAATCTTGTCTTCCATCTATATGCCCAGGACTGCCATTTAACCCACTGCAGCTCACAACCTTCGGTAAAATTTTTTGTTCACTTGCTTATTCACTGAACAGAAATAAAAAGTTTATTATTATTATTATTATTATTATTATCATCATTTATATTTTTCATTCACACCACGTTGCCTGCGTGCTGGGTTGACCGGACCACCTTTTAGACTTCACGTTTATGCCGAGTTCTTGGATCATTTCATCAACAATACATGGAAAAAAATACTATAGACACGAGTTTCGTGTTTGTAGAGATCATCAATGGTACAGGAGAACCCAACAAGTTTACACGAGTACTTGTGCTAAAACCAAGCATGAACGCACGCAATATGATTGAAGTAGCTTGATTGAAGTTAAAAAACAGTCCACTGTGCCCCATTCTCTGTTATCCGGTCAAAAAGGTTGACCAGTTATCACCGAGGACTATAATTGAACAAAGTTGCATTGCCAAATCATAGTCAGTTTTGATAAGAACATTAATAACAGACGAATAACTATCTTGCAGTCTGTTCAAAGTTCAAACCCCGGACTGGACGTTCGGAGCGAGTGCATGATTGATTGGATGAACTGAAAAGATTGTCAGTGGCAGTGGAGCCTGAAGGACACGTCGTTCACATGCGAAATCTTTAATCGGGTGTTTTTTCAAGTACCTTTTGAAATTTTTCGTTCACTGTTTTGGTATTGGTTCCAGAAAAATATTCCACAATTCAACCAGATTAATATCACCAGGGCAAAATGCCCAAGACAGCGCGATATCCATTTTCGAGAGATTCGGGTATAGAGAAGCTGCTATTTTTTGGAGCCTAGGATTGGTCACTATAATAAACGGGTTGTACTGGAAAATTCAACGAAGTAGATAGTTTATACTTTATCAGTTAGTGCATTTTTTGCTTATGTTTACATATTACTATTGATCAGGTTTAGCACATCCAGCGCTTGTTAGTTGTTTGGACCTGGCCTGAAACGTGAATTCCTTGAGCACTCAAGTATAAACTGGTTATCAAAGATGCTCTATTGCAATAGCATAGAACTACAACGACGTGGGAAGGTGATCCTGAACGCAGCAATAAGTGAGCTTACCAGGCATGCAGCGCATAAAAATACATGTACCCCCAGCCCATTCCACCCAATCCGATGCAGTTGTGGTGTTCGGAGCATACTAATTCTGAGACTGGCTCTGTGTAACATATGTGTGTGTCAAAACAGTTGGGATGGCGGTTCTGAGTCAGCGGTGAAGGTCACCAAACTACCCCCCGCCCTCTCCTCGGAGGACGTATGGTCGAATCCCATCACTGCCGCCCAATGTTTATCTTCTATCTGTTTGTGTCCCCAGGCAGGGCTTAAATTGTCACCTCTCACTTCCTTCCTGAAAGTTGTTTGTGCATTCGTTCGTTAGATAAACGGAGGTAAAAAGATTGTTAATATTATTATATAATCTGGCTTTGTGTTTCCCTTTCATACCTTATTAGTATTGTTGTGAGTAATGCGTTTAGATTGCTCAAATGAACGTGATTGGTAGTTTCTCATGCGGGCTAAAAAATGAATAAGACCGCTTAGAGCGAATTTCTCTGCTCGAAATGGTAACTACGGAAAAATGGACCTTTCCGGTCATTATCCTGTGTGTGTTATGGGAATTCTGAAGACTTGTTCCAAATCAGATATTTTGTTATATGTATGCCAATATACCATAATTGATAATGATTAACTATCCTTATCTCGGCACCGCCTTGTGGAATTGTAACATGGTGTAGGGATGAAAGGGTGAACCGTACCGTCACAGGTATCCATCACTTGCTTCATGTACGCGGCCAGGGTTGATCGAAATCTCTATCACTGCATAAGATCCAAAGTTGGGATAGAAGTGGACGCTAGGTGGATGTTTTCTCACGAAACTCTTGTGCCAGTACTGACAATCATAAAGTGCTTTATTGATTCAGTTACCGCTCAATTGATTTCCTTTGCGATGAGAGATTACTTTCTTCTTCTGTTTTCTGTTGGTAGTGTAAGCGTATCTGTGTGTGTGTGCGTGTGGTTTGGGAGTGGTTATTATACTACACAGATAATCGTAGTTACTAGGAAATAAAGAATAAATCAATGCAACAATGTGTGTCTCTTTAATTTGAGTTTGGTTTGCCGATAAATAAAAAGGTGGGCCGGAGATGGTACTTACCAGTGACAGGTTTTCTTATCTCCGTTTTCAAGGGTTCCTCGTCTTCCCAATCCTTGTCGTAGTCCATATGGTCCACATGTTCAACACCTATGGTAGGACGAGAAATGAAAACAACAACAAAAACTCTTCAATCACTAAAGAACGAATCAATGAATGAGGCTGATCGACACAGTTGGGTGATAGTTGGGGGATCAAATGGCAATAAAAAAGTTCATTATCGCTCATTTTACTGCATATTAGTGGCGTACGCCGAATTGAACTTGACGAGTTGGACAGACTCCAGGGTTCGGATGATTCACCCAAATGAACGCAATTAGGTCCCCAGTATTTGAGCACGAACAAACAGCGTGGTTTGCCTACAACACTTGTTGTCTTTACCACAAAAATCTACTCCTTCAAAGGGAAGCCGTTTTTTCGTGCATTCTGTTTTCAAGTATCATTCTTAGGTAACGTAAATAACATTGCAAAGCGTTGTCGCTGGTAAAAAGTATTTCGTGAAGAAGTTCGATTTTAATTTGTTCTTCTGTGAAACACAGAATTCTGTTATCTCACTTACTGACTTCACATTCAAGAAGTATTCACTCAATTTATTAGATCCTTATGCCCCAGGAAAGCCTCAACATTGTCGAGGTGAGAATCTAGGGTTTCGGCTGATCACCGTTCCCTTGCGTCTCGCGAAACGCTCCCATACAACCAAGCGTTTCAACTAGCATCTGCTGAGGAAGTCCTACTCACTGCCTTCTTATGACGGAGGTGTTTTCCCACCAACGTGAGAGGGTGAAAAGTCGGCATTCGGGGTTATAACCGGGTTGGTGGACCACTAGTGGTTCACCTAGGGGAGTTGACCGAAAACCCTGATTCTAAACCAACCAAGAGGAGGTGTATGAACCACGCACACAACTACCTGGTCGTGGCAGTGGTCACCGGCACGATTGGACATCGAGGTGTATTTGGCACCTTTGACGCTTGACCCCGTCCGAGGGCGCATGATTTGGTGAACTGGACACTGACTCCTAATGGATTGCGGCTTTCGCACACCGACCCGCTGCCTTGCTGGTGAGGTTTGGCTAGCCAAAGGCTGCGGTTTTGGAGTCCTCAAAAAATTCACCTGTCTTGGCCTGGGGAACCTGGCAGTATTCGGCCCACATGCAAACCATGGAACGTTTTTCTTTTTATAAAGATTATTGTACCATGATTTGTTTGGCACACAGTCTGCATTCAGACATATGTGAAAAAAAAATATATAAATACATAGATATCCCCGTAGTTTTCATATAATGTCTCAGACAATCCTCCGCAATGTGAGGAACGACTTCATGGTTCTTTCTTGAATATGTTCAAATCTTTTGCATCCCGACGGAGTTAATAATGAAGCACCAGGTCCAGATGAACTATCACTTGTGGTACTCAGGATATGTTCGGACAGCCTTTCAGACCCATTGTTTAAAATATTCAATGACTGTCTGATAAGCGGAAAAATTCCTGATATTTGGAGACTGACCAAGATAACTCTTGTTCCAAAAAAAGGAACCTGGGAAATATCGTCCCATCGCCTGCACGGCAGTCATGCTCAAATTATTTGAGAGATTCTTGTTACCGTGGGTTGTCACTGAGTCCGCCGAAGACGACATACATCAATTTGCATATCGCTTTTCGAGCTCACACTTGATACCGTTGCATACCTTGTTCATTCGATTATTTCAGAACTAGATAAGAAAAGTAAGGCCGTCAGGATGGTGTTCTTAGATTACAAAAACGCTTTCGACAGTCTTTATCGATCGGTATAGCTCAACCCGATTACTGAAAGTGATGGTAATCCAAATGTTAGCAGATCGATCTGCGATTATTTCACAAATAGAAGGCAGTTTACATGCCTAAACGGAAAAAAAGTCCTTCACTCGCTCATTTTTTCTGGTGTTTTGCAAAGTGCAATATTTCCCCCATTTTTCTTTTCAATTTATGCCAAACAATTTCCCATTCCGCCTGCATTCATTGGCTGTAAGTACGCAGATGACGTTGTTCTAGGTTGCAAAGCATCCACCCCTGAAGAGGCTTTAGAAATGCAAAGCAAGCTGAACGAGGTTGTCACTTGGTCCTTGTCCCGTTCCCTTTCATTGAATGCCTCTAAATGTCAGGATGTTGTATTTTCCCTCTTGGCCGATGTACCATATAGAGCCCTCACAGATAGGTTCCCCACCCTCTCTGCAAATCAACAATCCGAACCGAAATCAACAGTAGTAAAATACCTTCGCGTTACCTTATCACACAAGTTATCATGGTCACTGAGCGTTCAAAACACATTCTGCAAAGTTAGAAAGCTTTCATATTTCTCACTCCGATTGAGATTACTTTCTGTTCCCCACAAGCTGATTGTTAGATTTGTGAATGCATGCGTGCTACCCCACTGGTAGTATTGCTCCCCAGTGATTTTTCTCGGTGTGTTAAAGAGAAACTTTTATTTAATGGCGAGATCTCTGAAACACATCTAGAAATGTTGTGGCATTATCAGGGACAAACTCACGGATTCTACCATTGACAGACACCTACAAGCATGCGAAATTTTTACCACAAAAATACTCTCAGACACTCACCACCCTTTACACAACGAATTTTGAAAAGCTGTATCTACATCATCCACACGCTCAAGATTTAAACTTCTATTTGCACGTACCTCTTCTTATCGTTATTTTGTTCTGCCATATCAGCACTTGACAAGCGTAATCTATGGCTTTCAATTTCATTATGCAATGATTTTTAAAATTTAAATCCATAAGTATGGTGTAAATGCTGAAAATTCACCCATCCGAGTGTATAAAGCTACTACTAGCTTGACTTGAAGACGTCGGGGAATGAATTGTGAAACCACATAAGACCAGAGCATATACGACCACTTATTTGTGTGTATATGAGAGGGAACCATGCATTATGCTTAGAGTCTAACATGACGTTCACGTTATCTACGGATAGGAGTAACACTGAACACTTTCGGTCCGAGAAGCTTTCGATTTTCCAACGACCAATACTTTTTTGGACTCATCACCAGTGTGTGTATGTGTGTGTGTGCTATTTTTGTGTATTCCTCTGAGACTACTGGGATCACGACCGTTCGTAGTGGAAGTCCAATCCCTCTGAGTAACACACAATAGAGGATGAACATTTTGAACTTATCAGTAGATCAAGTAGTAACCACATGCTTTTGTTTTACGGAATGAACAAACTTTACATACACAAATTTGACCTGGACGATGAAATGCTCATTTTGCAACACACAGGGAACAACGATCACCACTTTACCTAGAATGTGAAGGAATGCCTCGGTTTCCACACGGCCGAGTGCATTGGTCGCAATGCAACTGTACCGTCCACGATCCTTCGGTCGAACTTGTCGAATTGTGAGCGAGGGATTTGCGTCGTCATTGAACAGTCGAATGCGATAATCGCCGGTCACTACCTGTCCGTTATGTTTCCTGATTCGGGGAGAAGTAGTCAAAGGGAATTGAAATTGTTTACGAGAAAGATCGGTAAGAGGAGATCATTGATCGGGTATAGCAACCGGCAGAGTTCATTGTGACTGAAATGTAAAACTTAGGAACAGGACATCTTAGCGACCTATTCTGTATAGAGTCACTTTGCATTTTTTTACTCTTTTAGTTAGTTGCTACTTGGTTGAGGTCTGTTTGTTTCCGGACACCTGCTTGGCATCTAACATTAATCACCAATGAATTCAGTTTTGGAGTTTACAATCATCTGATTGCCACGTACATCGCCAACCGCATACATATATATACCTTCACGGGAATCTATTTATCACAAAGGGAGGAAAGGCCTCAGTGCTAGTCAGACGCTAAAGGTTACCCTCGCCTCAGCTCGGGACTTACCATTTGGGTCTTTTTAATCACCACTCCGCCGTTTAGTCCGGTATGCCTACTGGTCGTCTTTGTTTGGGCAGTTCCATCTTCCGGAAAATTAATTGACATCGTTATTTTGTTTTGTTTTTCAACATGAAATCATTGATTGGCATTGTTTTTGCAAGTTATCTAGCCCTCCTCCATCAGACAACTCTCAGGTTTGCCAGGATTGGTTTATCCTACTTTTTTTTTATTTATTCCTATACCCACCAGTGACCTCCGTTCGTTCTTCCATACGATTCATAATAGAGTGAGTGGATGGTAGAGTGTTAGTTTCGAACTGTATCTGCCTGTTTCCAGCTCACAGAACTCCATTGGTTGCGCACACTTTTTACAGAGAACCGTGACTTGGTCGCTCTCAACATTGCAAGTGCGTACATACCTCAAATCCGAGAGTGTTCAAAAAAGAACTCCATTTTGGAGTATTTTGACGGAGAAACTTTTTGTTGGTTTTTATCCCGGCCCCGCATTAGTTGCGTAAACCATATATCAAATCATCAACGAAATCGTACTGTCGTCAACTCGCCATCATGGGCCTAGCCTTAAAAGGGATCTTTTAAAGATTTATTCATCAACATTTCACTAATGATGGTTGACGGTCTTCCGATCCTGCGGACGGTATTGAACTAGATCGCACACCATCCGAATCTGTGTTTTTTACTCTGATCCACTGCATCCAGCGAGGGCATTAGTGTCGCCTCTAGTTGCAACTATTCGTTTCAATGTTCTTACAGTTAGAAGTACAACGGGAGAACAGAATGTCGTTTGTCAACCGGAATGTGCGAACATGATGCGAGACATTTTGGTTTTTGCGGGATGAACATACCGAAGCATTTTTGTTAGACTCCGGTCACCTAATCGGATCATGTGTCTATCTTTTCGTGTCATGAGGAGATCACGAGGCTCATGCACGCATGGGTCTTTTTATGATTACTAGAAATGATGATTGTTCTATCACTTACAAATGTGGTAAAAGTGTCGTTATTTGTAGTAGTGGTATAAATGCACAAAACGTTACCGGAACAAGGAAGGTTATTTCTTACGAACAGTGTTCAAGTAATTTGGCATACATGCAACAATATGTCTCATTTGCAACAGATCCTCGGAATTCTCACAAGCACACAGGATAATTAAGGGAACATGCGCATTTTCTGTAGTTCAAAATTTGAATCCTTCAGTCAATCCACTCACGAATCCCATGGTAACCCAATAACCGCTTCTTCACACGTTCAAGCTCCTTTTTAGTATGAGTAGTAGTAAACAACAGTAGTAGTAGCGATGGTTACGTCTCATCTATGTGACACTTCCTGTCCACTCCCCATCCACCTCCACCCGTATTTATCATCTAGTTTTAATCAGATCACTTTCACAGCGTATTATCAGATCGTGTCATCTGACTTGACCGTAATCTATGACCAAGATGAATTCACGCAATGCACTTTTCTATCACCTTGTGCAAATGACTCATTTCAAACTTTTTGCTTTGTTTGACAGGATTATATACATGTGAGTTTTCTCAGCTGAACTGATGGTCAATATCAATTCTATCTTGAATACTGTTGAGGTAGATAAAGCTCCGAAATCGAATTTGTTTACTCTTGTTGGACAAGATTTATTGATCCTAAGAGTAGAACCAGGCCTCCTCAAACACCAGACTGAAACTATTGCAGCAGTCGGAACTGTAAACAGTTTGATCTTTTCACGTTTCCCAAAGTCAACTCTAGTGACCGAGAAATTTTGTCCCAATTTATCTGCTGGTTCCCAACTATCGATCTAGGGAAGTTGTCTCATGGCGACAGTTGAAGTTATCGGAATTCGTCTATATCTAATTCTTCCGCTCGCATTATTCTCAACTGAGGTGCTGAGATCACTGGGTGTTCTTTGAGTATCGCCTCAGTCACTCTTCCCGCCCTAAACATTACTCGAACTGATGCGTGTGTGAGCATCATTTAAGGTAGATAACTAAAATTCGAATCCGTATTTTTAACTTTTTGAATGAATTTCCAAATATGACCTTGTTCACATGTGCCTGTTTCTCACAACGTGTGATAATGATAAATTTGAATAATTTCTTGCTGTGTACAGCTAAAGATCCTAAATATTTGGTTCTCATCCTGGTCGCCGAGGAAAAGACATCGGTCGAAAAAATAAAGCTGTTTGGAATCACATATACCAAAAATTACGATGACTTCTGGTGCTAGACAAAATATCACATTTATCCTGGTTCGAGGTTTCAAATCGCAAAAGGAAAGATTTTCAGTTATCCACATGATATAACCGACTAAGAGAGCCGCAATATTTGATTCTTCTGTTGTGCATTGTGTTACAACATTTTTTAAAAGAAACACTTGATCCTCGCGTTTGTAATTATGAATGTGTTCTTTTTAAATGAAGCGATGAGTTCTCAGTTGTTTGCCCGCATAATTCGAATTATGGATATGTATCTGGTTCATACCTGACAGCCCCCTGACCTAGTTTGGAGTTCTTCCTAGTAAAAAACAGTGTTACACTACTTACAAATGAAATATCCAAAAAGACTTTCAAACCATGAATACCCATTTGAATATCAACGCAAGTTTAGCTAGTTGGTTGGTCAGTCAGTTAGTTAAATAGTCGGTTAGTTATTTAGTTAGTTATTTAGTTAGTTAGTTAGTTAGTTAGTTAGTTAGTTAGTTAGTTAGTTAGTCAGTTAGTTAGTTAGTTAGTTAGTTAGTTAGTTAGTTAGTTAGTCAGTTAGTTAGTTAGTTAGTTAGTTAGTTAGTTAGTTAGTTAGTTAGTTAGTTAGTTAGTTAGTCGATTAGTTGGTTATTCAGTTTATTCGTTCTGTCTTGTCAGACATAGCCTGATCGCGCCTCTGCTTCGATCGTTCCCCCAAAAACAGACAAGCTTGTGAAGCAACAGTTCATACTCACCACACAATCGCAGCCGCCGGCTCAGCCATTACACGCGCAGTGAACCGGACGCAATCACCGACATCCACTTCACAATCTTGTAATCGTTTTGTGAACAAAGGTTTCAGACCATCGGCTGTCCTGGAACGGAATATAACATTATATCAGGGGTTAGTTTATTGTATTTATGCAAACTATTCACCACGCCTTAGATCACGAACAAGCACTCACGTGACTCTGTATCCTGTGTCCCGATCTCTTCTGGCCTGCACATCCACATGAGTGCGCGAAGTGAATGCGTTCTGATCACCCAGCACCCAGATCTCGTAATTGCCCGCCAAATCTGGCCGAATGTGTGGAAATGACATGGACAAGGTGTTTCCCAAACNAACTAAAATCTGCCGTTGTCTCAGGCTAGAGAAAACATGGAACAAGTGAATAGGAAGGAGACGGGAATAGATTTTTTCGTTAGGTTTGGTTTTCGGAAGATATAGAGTTTCTTTCCTTGACAAACTTTTTCTGTAAACTAAATCGTCACATTGCAATGTATCTTCTGTATACGACCACTAGAATTAGTTCACAGGTAGTCACTGTGTCCAAAGCAATCTCCATCACAATCCATCGAGCGAATTCACAGAATGTTAAGCCTTGCATCTGTTCTGATTACGGGGTGGTTCGCTCCCTGGGGTATATCGTTAAGTTCCTCCTTGCCAGAAAACCGAATACCCAATTAAGACATTGAGCACTGTTGTGGCTTGCACGTGAAGGGTGCATCTGTCATGCATGCCTGTGACCAGACTGATTAATCGATTGATTGATTGATTGATTGGCTGACTGTTTGAATGCCGGCTTACGGTATTTGGATGTTGTTAGACGTGCGAGCCTGTGTGGGCCTGTCTGTGTTCCTAAGTGTTGTCCGTTTCTGCTTGCTCCCCAGTCCATGAACCGGCTACATAAGTACCGTCTCCACTAAACGTGTTGCTTAATTCACTGTGTGCTTTTCAACCCACTTAACCTCGCACACAACAAGCTAGAACCTTATTACCTCAATTTTACCCAGAACTGTGGTATAATATTAACGAAAGTATTATTATTGATAATAATAATGTGATGATAATGGTATAAAAACACTCACATTTATAGGTTTCCCATTGAAAAACCATGTGTAATCTTGTATACGAACTCCAGGATTCACACGCACTTCCAAAGAAGCTCGTTCAGCTTCACGAAATGAACTATGCAACGGGAGACCTTTATCAAAGAACGTGGATGCATCTTTCTCGTCCTCGGCCAATTCTCTTTCCGGAAGTAGTGGTTGAACGCGTAGACGAGGAAAAACATAGGACGAGTGCTGATCCGTGATGATGGGCAGTGCATCGGGAGTGTAACAGTCTTCCATTGCTCGTTCCAATCGTGCTCGACCTTCCGGACTGAGTCGAACCGTGTACTGACCACTGTCCGATTTTCGAACACTCGGTAGGATTAGTTTGACTAGACTGGTGGTTGAACTGTTTTCGCAAATCTGGTCAGGATGATCATTATCCAGTTGATTAATTCCGATAGGTTGACCGTCGCACAGCCACTCAAAATCGGAATTGGCCAGCTCCAAACCATAATTTGGGCATCGAACAGTCAGGCACACAAGGGATGTTTCCCGAACAGGATTATTCAAGTTGGTGCACAAATCTTCCACCGGATTGAACAATCTGTGTGGTTTCTCTTGACTTCCGGGCGGAATCGGCCGTGGCTTGACACATGTAATCGGGATTTCTATACTCGTCAGAAGTTCGAACTCCGGTTCTTCAGAAGTGCAAGGTTCCTCCTCCTCCTCCGCCTCCGCCTCCTCCTGCCTCGTTTTCGGCTTCTGTGTGGCTGAAGGAAAAGAGTTGTACACAAGAGGCCTACAAACAACCATTCAACGTCATACAACCATGTTTTAGGAAAAGATGATTACGTTTAGCGGACAATTCTGAACATGGATCGTGAATGCGAGTAAGCGCCATGACATAGTATGTTCACAGGATGTTATTCATGCAACGAACTGTTTACGAACGATAGTCCCCAGATAAAGGGAAACTGAATGGCGTTTCAGTTGTATACGTGTGCTTGAATACCAGCGGTACCTTTTTCGGACCTTGTAAGTCATGCAATCTAACAGCTATCACTCACCCCCACCCCGTGAAACATTTGCTTTTAGTGCCCCCCTGCCCCCCCCCCGGAAAAAAAACTGCGACGGGAATGCCCGCATTCTCCTTCTCGGTTGTCAGAGTAGTTACCCTCTAGAGCTCCCTCCCTATATTAGCTCAGATGGTCTCTAATCCAACAACTGATTCTCTGCCGATGAAACTTCGGTACGAAACTGCAAAAAACAAACGGATGAGGTTATTTTAGCATGCACTCTCTTGTGCCCACAAGAGAGATTGCGTGTGTGTGTCTGTGTATGTACTACACTCTTTTCCTCGGTTGATAAATCGCCCGTGTCATTCGTTTCACGGTAAAAAGGCCGACCGATGAAAATTTTCCAGCCTAAATGAATTGATAAATTATATAGCCACAAACTACTCACATAGCATCCTTCATCCTGAAGGAAGCGGGACCATAAGTGAATAATTAGTACAGATTAGTTGCGTCTGCTGTGAGGCAATAGCATATTCAATCTTATGAATGAGGCTCGACACATTACGCGTTGGGAGGACCAAATAAGGTGAAAATCTGGGTGTTGCATCAGAGTGATCAATAGTTGTATCTGTCTATGGTTTTTCCTGGTCTACTCATGAATAATTTCAATTCTCTTCACGACCGTTTCGGTTTGATGATTTTGGAATGAGTAGAGGAACCAAAAAGATTTAAAACAGGTTTTCTCTTATTCCTCATAGTAACTACACTGATCACAAAAACGTATGATTTTCTTATTTCTTCATGTGAGAATTTTTCCCGTAAAAGTCGTAACGACTCCAGTCACCGGCTCACTCCCGCCCTATCTGCCTGTCGTCGTTATCGTCACACTGTGACTCCATTCTATATTTATCACTGTTCACTCTCCCCAATAAATAGTTATCGTAATTCCAGTCGACTCGCACTCTAATTGACTAACAAAAGGTACTACACAAACTAACTGTAACTAAGTGTCTTACATTTATTGTATATGAAGTTTTCGTCAATTTGTGTTAGCTTACTGCAACGGCGAACACAATGTTCGACTGAAAAATTGAGCATAGTTGCATTCACAAGTCATTATAATACAATGCAATAATAATAATAATAATAATAATAACATGAAGCCTGCTTCGCCTCTCTCTCCCTCGGTCTCTCATTTATTCTCCAAACCTCGTTCTGTCTGGACGTTTGTATTACGCCTTTAAATAAATAAAACTAACTGAATTAGGAGTGAAATGATAAACCAACTGTTCATATTAAGCTTTTCTAGTCTAGATTTTAATTATCTTTCAATTTTTGGATTAATTGTCATAAACTTTATCAGATGTATATAATTCAACTAAAACAACCTGTTTAGAGTGCGATGTTTTTGAGTCAAGTTTTCTTTGTATTGCTGAACCACACTACGCCACGGTTGAAAATATGCCAACTGTCTATGAGGTGAATTGTAAATGCCATAATCAAACGCTATTTCGGAAACACTTACTTGTTTTGTATAATTCAAGTCGATACACATCCGTGTCCTCTGAGACAAATGAGGTAAATTGTAAACGATTCCTATTCGGGTCCGGACTAGTATCAATCGATTCCCTTGTCTGTTCCCCATCCGGAACCGGTCGATCAATCAGTGAGTCTTGGATGGTGGTATGTCCACCTTTTGACCAAACTGCACGAATCGTGTCGCGTGGAACATCCCGTAGTTCTAAACACAACGGAGTACCTTCAAGCACTTGGACGGAATATCGACCGGATAGTTCGTTTGCACACTCCACTGTGATGGGTAGCTTGTGCGGTTCCGCTGAGTCCAGAGGAAAGGCGGTCATTACGAGTTCAGAATCCTCTACTTGGTATGGTTTAACTGAAACGGGGACGATAAACTCTGATTGTGGCTCGAGATCTTCTAATGCATTACGAACACGATCCATCTCAATTGTTGACTCCTCTGCTGTTTCCTTGTACCGGCGTTTATCTTTCTTTGATGATCGAGATTCTCGATCAATAACATCCCCATCTAGTTCTCGGGACAAATAGTCCGGTTCCGTTAAACTCGCCTCTTGTTTCCGGTCTTCCGTCGATTGCAGTTTATCGCATTGCTCTTTTTCCACTTTATCTTCGCGCACTTTATGTTTCTTTTTGTTCTTCTCCATTTTCACTTGGTTCACATCCTCATCCCCTTCCTCCTTGGTAACGTCCAAAAGACGGTCTTGACTTTCATCCGGTTTTCCTTCCAAGACCTTACTTTCGTCAGTTCGTTTCTTTCTCTCTCTCCGCTCCTTGCGTTTCTCATCTTACTCCACACCGGACGGTTTGGACAGATCCGTATCCCGAGCAGTCAATTCAGTCAACTCTGTTTTTGTGGCTACCTCGCTAATCTCCTGTTCAGTCGGTTTACCGCTATCGTAATCGACCACTTTCT